AAATAATAGTAGAGCTCCTTATTTATCGATATAGAAAAATATTTAGAGCACATGTCTTCATATAAATTGTTATTTGAATTCATTACGAAAAATAAAATGTCTCCATATAATTATTGCTTTGAATTTTTAACGAAAAATATCATATGAGAAAACATTGAAATAATTCAAAAAGCATGCCAAAAAAATGCAATAAACATATTAAAGTAAACATAACTATGCATGACAGTTTGACATTTCACAACCATATTATTATGTAATTTAGCTGTGAAAGCCAAATGTACTTCTACTGCAGATAAACCTTCAGTAAATAATTTACCGATATTAAACTTCCACATATTGATTTACCAAACTATGTATCGATATGAGTACTATATCGTCCAGCATTGTGAATCGATGATAATCGATTTTATCATTGTTTGACATTTTAAATTTACTTTGACGAATTGAAAGCTGTATGTGGCATTCAGACATGATCTTGACATTTCTTTTTATCAGAACAGTTGGTGAATAAAATACTTCTCACTGGATACCTGCTCGTGTGGGATTAAATTAGCAACATGAAGCAATTACACAGCCGTGCAATCAAATTCTTTCTCTACTTTCTTTTCGTCAGTTATCAAAACACAGCTTTAAGAAGTTTTTATCAGCATTATAATTAAATTATATTCTATGAACGTATGGCATATTTAATCTTTTCCATTTGTTAAATTTTTCATTTGTATTATTATTTTATACAATGTGTATTGTATGATTTTTTTTATTTGTATCGTATAATTTTTTATCTGTATTTTATATAATCTTCCATTTGTAATATTTTTGTCCCCCTTTGTATTGTACATTTCAAACTTTGTATTCTATATTTCTTTTTCATTGTATTGTATTATTTTCTATTTGTATTTTATAATTCCCATTTTAATTCTATATTTCATCATTTGTACTGTATAATTTCCATTTGTATTGTATAATACAACATTTGCATTCTCTTGTGTTTCAATTTGTATTTTATATGAATTCCCTAAGTATTCGATAACAAAATGCATTGTATTCTTCAATTTGAATTGTGGGATATTTTATAAATTCCAAGTCAGACCATCTTTAAAAAATGTTTTGTTGCCCTCTCCCGACCGACTGACTAAAAACAGCCATACTCAAAACTTTTTTTTACTGCCAAGAAACAATTATTTTTTTTTCATTCATTCCAAAGTTTTCTCATCTCATTATTAACTATTATAACTTCATGTTCATAAGTGTTTTTGAATTAAAAAAAATTTCCCCTACCTACCGACACTTTTTTTAAAAACAACTTTGAGTCGGGAGAGGGCAAGCAAGCATTTTTAAAGATTGGCTTAAGATGGATTTTACTGTTCGAAAATTTTCAGGTGGTTCAGCTAGAGCTAAAAATGGCGATATATGAACATTCACATCACACATGGCGCTAGAGGCCTGTAAAGGGGGGGGGGGCACTTATTTTGAAAGTCATGCTATAGATATTGTATGAAAATCTTAATTCAAAGGCCGCTCCCCCTTATTTTATTGCAGTATGATCGAACTCTGTCACCTTAAATAAATGCCAGAAAGAGGAAAATCGTTGACTTTGAGAGTTTGGGTAGTCTATTTTTTTTTTACTTGTCAATTATTTTTCTCTCTCTCCCTTCCCCTCTCTACTTTAAAAACCGATGCTACCAGTCAGCAAAAATTGGTACGTAAAACATGGATTTTTTTTTTGGTTGTTGATAGTACTAGTATATGCTCAAAAATTAAATAGTAGTACAATTTTAATTTTCCCCACCAGAAGATAGAGGTCGCCATTACTCAGCACAGCCCAATTCTTTTTCGATGGATAAAATCCATCCTACGATAGCCCATAGTCATCAGTGTCTCCCAATAAGCGAGCTCTGGAGAAACTTTGATCCCAAATTAAAGACTACAAATAAATTTCGTTATCGAATACTTTGGAATTTACATACAATAAAATACAAATTGAAATATATAAGAATGCAAATGTTGAATTTTACAATACAAATGGAAATATACAATAAACATGTTAATAACGAAATATGGAATACAAATAGAAATTATAGAATACAATTATTAGTAGAAAATATACAATACAAAGAGAAAATTAATATAAAATACAAATCAAAACATATACAATGCAGATTGTGAAAGATATAATACAGAAAACAAGAGGCCCATGGGCCACAACACTCACCTGAATAACTTTGGCTCTGCTGTTCTTCACCCTTGTAATACTTATTGTGGTCACACCCTACCCAAGGTTCATGATTTGCACAATTTAGCACAAAAATGGCGACACTAACCTAAACTTGTGCAGGGTTGAGCTCAAAAACAAATTTTCCATATTTAATACCTGTTTTTAGCACAAAGCTCGCCATATACTGACGTCAATCAAATTCAAACTTGCAGTCTTTAAAGTTACATCTAAATGAGCTCAATCCTGCACATGGTGGGGTTATTCTCGCCATTTTATTCAGAAATTCATGGTCCGAATAAGCGAGGGAGTCAACATGCAGTTGCATACATGTATATGGTATATTCATAGAAAGAGATATCATCGCAAGCCACGGATTTTGAGGGTCGAACGAAATGGACACAAAAATCCGTGGCTTGTGACGATAATGTAGAGGTCTGTAAATGTCGACTGTAATGTAAAAATTAAAATTTATGTGCGGTTAATCTGAAATATCTTACTTTTTTTTAACGATTTTGATATCTGACGAGCCAGGCGGGGAGAAGGCGAAAAAATAAAGTTTTCAGAACATACAGCTACGATTGAAAATTTTAATTTTTAATTTGCTCGGGAAAAAAGGCTGAAAATTTCAAAATTCGATGTAGGTTATTCAAAATATTGCCCATTCCACAAAAGTATTAATCAACAATTGGCCCATGGGCCACATTGCTCACCTAAGCACTGTGGCTAGGAAAAAAGCAAAAATCAGTTCAGTATTGAAAAGCTTTAATGCATAAGTGGTCCCGACCTACCCCTAAAAAGGGAGGGGGGGGGATAATTTGAACAAAATTGAATCTAAACTAACTAAAGATGCTTACATATTTCTTTGTCTGTGACTTTTTTCCCTGCAAGTTTGAACTTTCATTATGGTCCCACCCTACCCCCGGGGGTCATGGTTTGAACAAATCTGAATCTACACTATCTGAGGATGCTTCCATATAATTATGACCAATCATAGTTTTGCTGTTCTTGAGAAGAAGAGTTTTAAAGATTTTTCCTATATATTACTATGCATTACTTTAATCATCAATTGTGGCCCCACCCTATCCCCAGGGGGCCATGGTGTTTTTCAAATATGAATGTACACTACCTTAAGATACTTCCGAAATAGTTAATAACCAATCATGGCTTTGCTGTTCTTGAGAAGATTTTTTCTACATACATGTATTCCTATGTAAAACTTTGATCGTCCATTGTGGCCCCACCCTACCCCAGGGGGTCATCGTTTGAACGAACTTGAATCTACACCAACTGAGAATGCTTCCACATAAATATGACCATTCATGGCTTTGTTGTTCTTGAGAAGAAGATTTTTTAAGATTTTTCCTATATACTCCTATGTAAAACTTTGTTCCTCCATTGTGGCCCCACGTTACCCCCGGGGGTCATGATTTGAACAATTTGGCCTAGTGGTTCTTGAGAAGAAGATTTTTAAAAGGTGCCATTAATTATTCACTAAGAAGATGGGCGAACAAGGCGAGCGAAGTGCCTATAGTGTAACAAACATGAAGGTGAAAAATTAAATCTCAATTATAACAAAATTTTCTTTGATATTTCATCTAACATTAAAATATACTTTATGTAAAACCTCCACAATTTGCAAAAATCTCACAAAGATTGAAATTATTTGCTTATGAAATAGCATACACACACTAAACAGGGCAAAAAGGATCATTTTCTCATATCATAATTTTTTCGATATGAGTGGGTCTTCGCTCCATTTTTTTGAAAGTTAATCATCAAAGTTTGCGTATAAATATACATATTTTGGTTAACAAAAACATGGAGCAAAGACCCACTATATCTTAAAAGTACACTATTATGACACAATATTCGCATCTTTCCGAGAAATACTTGAAGTCCCTTTAGTCAAGGGTCATATCACAAACATGATTTAAATGTCACTATTTATCAGGAGCAGTGTAGCGTAGTGATTGATTGATTGTATGTTGTTTAACGTCCCTCTCGAGAATTTTTCACTCATATGGAGACGCCACCACTTGCCGGTGGAGAGCTGCAAATTTTGTCCAATACTCGGCACTTACGGCCATTGAGCAGTGAGGGATCTTTTTCGTGCCAGCACCTACTGCGACACGGGACCTCGGTTTATACGGTCTCATCCGAAGGGCTGGTCTCCACGTCCCACAGTGGGATTCGAACCCGCGACGTAAGGATCAACTCCTTACTTCGCGACTCTAGAGCAGACGCTCTAACCACTGCGCCACGCGGGCGACGTGTAGCGTAGTGGTTAGAGCGTTAGTTTCAATTAAACGAAAATTATACTCAGGATTTTTATTGCTAGGGTTCGAACCCCACGAATACCACATTATTTTTTTTAATAACAAATTAATTTCTGCTGGGAAAATTTTCCTCAGAAAAGTGTTGTTTATCATAATTTCATAAATTTCAATAAAGAGAACTTTACTCTAAATACTTAATTCACAAACTGAATATGATTTTTACATATCTGAAGCTATAGGCATTCTGCACGCCTTGTTCACCCATCTCCTTTGAAATTATCTCCCCTTGGAAGAGGGCGTGGCCCTTCATTTGAACAAACTTTAATCCCCTTTACCCAAGGATACTCTGTGCCAAGTTTGGTTGAAATTGGCTTAGTAGTTCTTGAGTAGAAGATGAAATTGTGAACAGTTCACAAGGACAACGACAGATAACGGACAAATTTCGATCAGAAAAGCTCACTTGAGCCTTCGGCTCAGGTGAGCTAACAATACGTTTGCTAACATTTTACCTCATCCGTCGCTCCGACGTCGTTCATGATGCTTTTTTGTTTCATGTGATTCAGGTATGTCTGTGTGATAGGCACACTGAAGTCAATGATGGGTGGGTCTTCTATGGCCATTTCCGGTTTGTAAGTTGACTCACATGACGTATTACTTTGAGTTTCTTCCGATGACGTCACATGCATTCTTTTCTGACAGTCCGAGCAGGACATGAGGAACCGTGTAACTGCTTCTCTTGGTAAAAATGCGTAGGTTTCTGCAATCTGGAATATGTTTTTAGAATATCTGCTTAACTAAATGTTAGTATTGAAATACTGTACCTTCATCATCCTACAAATCAATTGCAGTACAAGAAGCCAAATGGTCACATTGTTCACTAACTGCAGAACTGTAACTTTCTGGTTGGTTTGTCTGTCCAATTTTCTCAACCAGAGAGCTACAATTCTGCAGCTATTTACTCGCCTGAGTTGCCTCATCCTACAGACAAAATATATTTGATCTTCTTAGAAAGTAGCCACCTTTTTTAGTCTCTCTTGCAGAGTTGTCGTTCGTTCCTCTCTCAGACATACATTTGTAAATGTATGAGCCGGTGGTAGAGTGTGCAATTTATTAAGATTTATGATTAATGCAATTTTACGTAAGTTAATTAAGTCTTAAATTTAGTTTACACATAGTAGTCTTGTTGGTCAGTCTTGCAGAATTTTATGTATTTCTGTACAAAATCTGAACTCCCATGTAACCCAGCAACTTGGACCATGATTTGAACAATTATCGTTGCCCCTGTTTCTGAGAATTGTTTTTCTTTTTTAGAAATTCAGGAATCCTTATGTATTTCTATGTGAAATCATGAAAAAGAATTTGACCCATTATTTTGGGCCCACCCTAGACCAAGGAGCAATGATTTGAACAAATTTGAATCCTCTATGTTTGTACAATAAAAAAAGAGTAACTGTAGCCCTTCAATTCTTGAGAGAGATTTCGAGATTTTTTCCCCTATATATTTCCATGTCAAACTTTGATCACATATTGTGGCCCCATCCTAGGCCCTGTGCCATGATTGGAAAAGAAAATTTTTTACAGGACTTTTTTTAAAACATTATCCATTTTTGCATGACCCCGACCCATTTTTACTCTTTATTATCTCCATTTGGATGGGAGCATGGCCCAGAGTTATAACCAACTTTAACCAAGAATCTATTGTGCCAGGTTTAGTTGAAATTAGATCACTGTTTTAGAGAAGGAGTCGAAAATATGAAAAGCTAACTGACCGACGGACAGACAGACAGACCAACGAAAAACTTTGATCAGAAAAGCTTCTTTTAAAAAAGTAAACCAGTGAATGACTTCTATGGCTGTAAGATCAGCTTACGAGTATACACCCTTCGAGTCACAGACAAAATGAAAAGAACAAGAAATATAAATATATTTTTATTTTTAATAAACGCAATTCATGAACTTTAATTTTTTCAACGCTAAAGGAGTGTCAAAAATTTTATATAATTTTATATCTAAAATGAAGTGTATACGCAGACAACAAACTTTTGATTCACATCGCGCAGTGTTCTGAAGCTCTCTATTCTACACGTATTGTGGATATGATGCGAAATAATCTGATAAACATGATCATGTTAAGGAAATGTTTTTTGGTCTACATGTTTGCGTCTCGCGAAATTACGCGAAAATGAATTTCTCCCAAATTAAAAGTGATTTACATAAATATTATAAATTTAAAAAAATCGAAAAAAAAAAAAGAAAAAAGAAAAAAAACAAAAACAAAACAGTGCATACCTTAACAACAGAACGACACACATACAAAATTCTGATTTTTTGTATTAACTTTTCCTTCAATTAGCATTGAAGTTGAGATGTATATTCCATTTTTGCTGTGGGTTTAAAAACAAAATACCCAGTCTGTTTTGTCTTGTCAGAGTATGTTTATCGTCATAAAAACCTTTTTAAAATGGAGACGTTTAACGCTTCGATATCATTCCGTTCTTCATATTCTGGAGATTTTTAAGTGCCAAATGTGTTCATGGTCCCAGCGTCAACAGGCATTAAAATTAACATTCTGTGTTCTCCTACACCGAAAAAATGTCCGTCAGTATAAAAAAAATTATAAAGTCTCTCAGAATTTGAATAACTTTTTGGTTAACTTAGTTATTAGTTATTACTAACGAAAATTAACTGATATCAATCATATTACCTGGCAAAAAACTGCGGCTTTTTCCATTAACTGTTTTTCATGTACTCTATTCCATAACAACTTACATAACTTTTTTTTTTAATGCACGAGACCTTCAACTATATGATTCGAACTTTATAAAGTTCACTTTATGCTCTCGGAAAGTACATGCATATGGATGTAAAATTGACTCAAGGTCGCGAGAAATCGTAAATAAAGTTTTAAAGAAAACACGATCAATTTCTTCGCTCACTGAGAAAAGCGAGGTAAGGAAGTAAGTACAGGTTTTATTTTATCTCACTCGATTACTTTCCACATACACTACATTATCAATTTCTATTCCGTATCTTATAATTTAATATTTTGTCCCTCTAACCACAGTTTTCCTCTTTCTACCTCATCTGAGCCAAAAAAAATTTTTAACTCCTCACAAACACACGGCTACTTCAATTTTCATATCGTATCACCGACCGCCTCCTGGCGGCGGTAATAATATTTTATTGAGAGAATGGAAGCATCCCCTTTTTTTTAATTGGTTTTGTTTGAATTATCCCTTTTAGTTTGTCAAATTAAAAAAAGGTTATAGTCAGAGTATTCAAAATGTCCTTTTCATGTATTTTTAGAAATATATGTACATCTTATTTTTTTTTTGTCGGAAGATATTTTTACCACGGAATTCATCAAAGTTAGCTTCTATTGGACGTGTTACACTTGCAACGAAGAATTGTGAGAGTTATCAAACTTTGTCCAGATATCAGTTTCTTTCTTTGTAAAACAAAGAAGAAAAAAAACAAAATAACAGTAATAATTATAGATAGATAAATCTATACTTATAAATTAATAAATTTTGCAAATAAACTCCGAAACGGGTGCACCAGAGTTCATACTAACTCCTCTAAGAATACACTAGATACAAGATGATGTCCGTAAACTATATTTAGATTTCACTCGGATAGTTAGTATCGTACATTAAATTAAAAGTCTACCCTCATTTTCTATAAACAGCCATGAAATAGCAAAAACATGAGTACGGTGGCGTTTCCGGTTGGCGGATTTAAGTTACTGGCAATTTTTAATGACACTGACAACAAACAATCGTTCATTTATTTCATAAAACGTTATCACTGAATTATTCAATCAAAACTTGATTTAAATGATATAAAAGAGATATGGTGTGATACCCGATTAAAAAGGGAATGTGCAAATTATTTTCGTCATTCACCGATCTTAATATTGACGGAAGCTTCTAGAACATCATATAGCATCGAGCCCGATGTTAAAAAAAAAAAAAACGAGGCTATTATGCTACATGAATATAAAAAAAGCTTTCGTGTGAATGGTCATTTAAATAATGGTAAATCATTGATAACACTATAAGTTTTGAATATATTTATATATCGAAAGACTAAAAACATATATGTAGTAGGTTTTCCTAATAAATTTACCGGTAAAATCCTCACTGAGAGCATCCTTGCAACGAACCCGAAGTACAATTTGTACTTCGTAATAAACTTGCTTACATGAAAAGAGAAAATTAATGAATAAGGTATTGTTCAAATACAATCAAAGCTGTAAACTTTTGTGCTTTAATCAATACATTTCAGTTATTTTTCTGAATACAGTCCTTCGTATCAAATACTCGGCCTATTCATAGGGCGTTAAAAGCTAATTTTTACACAGGTACTTGAGTCTTGGTTTATAAATACGTATGTATACCTTATTGATACATGTATGTAAAAAAGTAAAGTACATTTTTTACATATCGATAAGGTACGTACATATTTATAAAGCAAGGCCCAAGTACCAGTGAATTTTAACCCCCCCCCCCAATCAATTTATAAGTAAAATGTGCATAATCGCTGCTTTTATCCTTGAGGGAAATGAAATAAGAGCATCTGAAGTACAATATCCATAACATAGTGTAACAGGTTTCACAATAAACGCCAATTAATGAAATTGTTTTTTTTTTTCAAATTTTCACAAATGGGGGGAGGGGGGGGGGCGTACATCTACTTCCTGCAGAATTTTGAACAAAGTATTTCTTCCTGCTATAAGCCTGTAGGCTGTCAGTAGAAACTACAATATATTTTCTGTCGGTAGTAGTATAAATTCAATTCCCCGCGCTTGCGCGGGATTTCATCTAGTAAATAAATAATTAAATAAATCATCCCGTGGAAACAGGATATGATGTAGCTTATTGGTACTTTCTTTGAAATTATTAAATTTGAACTTGGGATTTTGTCCTGTATACAACGAAACACTGAAACTGTTGAACCACTATGTGATTGCAGTATCCGACCGACCCCCCCCCCCCCTCAGCTGCAGAACTGCAGCGTCATATAGTTTAAATTTTAGTCTGACCATAACGCTGCAGATCCCGTAATGCAAAGATGGTGCAATTTACGGCGCAAGATTTTCTGCGCAATCTAGGGATGTATTTCTCCACTATCCAGCAGAGGTCAATCAACTACATTTTATTCCCTAATTCTAGACATATTCTCTAACCAACCTGTATATTCTATCCACCACCACCACCTAACCCTCTCTAGTCATCTCTACAGACCATTAAACTCGCTTGTTGTGAACGTCTCTGATCAAAAAGATTGAATTCTTAACAGATAACTTTACTATAAATTAATAAATAAAAATATTAATGGCTTTTTCATTACTAATATTTTAAAAATTTTCGACTGAACTTGAAGCTGAGCATGTATGTCGGCATTTGATCAGTTCTGTATGAAGAAATGTTGGGAATAGAGCTCTCCGTTTAAGACACATCTGTCGTCATCACATGTCCTAGCAATCAGAGCTTTTCTTGTTCATAGAAAACGAAAAGCAGAGGCCCATTACAGATTTTTTCCCCGAACGCAGTTTTCTTCCATTATTTCCTTTTAAAAAGAAAATCATCTTCTTTTCTTTGTAAACACGGAATAAATTGTACAGAAGACAATGTGATTTTTTTTCCTTTTTTCGGGCCATATTCAACAAAATGAAGTGAAGAACTTCGTTTGCTAATTACAAGAAAATAGGGTTTGCGTCGTTTGATGCTTGGAAACTTGTTATCGCCGATTTATCGATTCTGAGGGAGCTGCATCTTTTAACATTTTTCTCGTCAAATAGCCATGGAGAAGTTGTGCGACTTCCGAGAGCAAAGAAGTTTTGACGGGTTTCAACTAATCTTCGGATCTAGGCATTACGGATTATTTCGAATGCCATCACAAGCTGTGCGGGATTTAGCGATACTTGGTTCACTGTCAAACCACAGAGCAAGGAGCACGATTCGGCGTGTCACCGAATAAGGAAGCTGGAATCCTCATCAACAAAAATAAATTTTCTTCAGGGGGAGGACTAATAACTTTACAAAACGATGAAGCCCCCCAAAAACATCATAAAGTGAAGTATAGGTTACAAAATTTCTCAGATTTTTGCTATTCATCCGACTGTGTATATACTAATAGTAACTTTTGTTGCTTTTTAACTATGATACTTAAAAACTGTAACCCTTTTCATTCAGATTTGAAGTGAACAAAACCAATACAAATCAGAGTTTGTTTTGGATTTTCGATAATTCCAAGAATTTTGTACAATTTGTTTCAAGGAAATTGTCAGAATATCAAAACCAAGTGTAGGAAAATGTGTATTGTAGAATAAATACTGTCTAAAAAAGACATCGGTATGCATCGTTGACCAGCATTATAATTGTATCTCAGTATAAGAGGAATCCAAGACAGACATTTTTTTATTTCTCTTTTAGCAAAAATAAATCACGTGTTGATATTTTTTTTCACTGAAGGAAATATTTCTTTCTAAAAATAAAATTATTTGTTTATAAGGAGAAAATACTGAAGGCAAGTATTGATTGCTTAATTTACGTCACTTCTAAGAATTTTCTTTGTACATTTCATTTCTCTCTCTAACATATGTCTAAACAAACTCAACTTACATGTACATGTATGCACAGTAGTAACATCCTGTCCAATGTCCATTTATCTATAATTATGGCTATTCCATAAAGCTTTCAAATTGTCTATATACGGAATTATGTACATGTAAGTCTGATTTGTCGATATGTTTTAAGATTTTAATAGAATTAAACAAGTGTAAAAGTAATGCACATCATTCATGTTGGGATTTTCGTTTAGCTGTGTATAGTTCCTTGCTCGGGTTTTCATTTTTATGCTATACATGTACTTGTGTTTTAATGCTTGTATAAGCTGTTTCCTTTTCTCTCGTTCGTAGCATTGTGATAGACTTTAATGTACACTTTTTCATGGACTGCCTGCAGTATTTCGTTTTAAGAAAACAATGTATATGATCACAGTGTTTTTATTCAGTTGTCATGTTCTATATTTTTTTAAACTTACCTGGATAAGGTATCCTGTTGTAAATTTTCAATTTACAGGGTGGAGGTAAATGCAAAAGTCACAACACAACTTGTAAATTTTGCATTTAATTTTAAATTTACAACCTGATAAAGGTGTCACAATAAAAATTAGAACGTGACAGTGTAATCATGTTAATTAACTCTTCAAATATAGGTTTTTTCCCCGTACTGACTCGAAGCTCTATAGGTGCATATATTCAAGGGAATAACGTCTATAACTCTATATATTATACTTTCATGTAAATCAGTTGAATCTGATTCGTCGAGAAACATTTGTTAAAAAACACTGTTACCGCTGAATAATGAAGCCACGCCCTACAGCGTAGCAACAGTCAACATTGCTTGACTACGGGTGATATTCTTAAAAATAGTGACTGCGCAGAATTTATGCGCGCAAGGTTCACTGTTTTATATATTTGTATAAAACATTCAGTATAATATAATAAATATTGCATGTAGTTGAGTGTAACATTGAAAATTTTTACCCCTCGAAAACCATTGTCAACCTCGGTTGCGCGTAGGTTGACAATGGTTTTCTTGATGTGTATTTGTTTCTGTATCAACTTTCCTTTTTTCTTTTTTTCAGTCTGAGTGGACTTACCATTTCCTAGGTATTGTTCTATATTGACTTACCGCTCTATAGGTACGTTTTTGACCAGCGTGTTTGCCACCTCTACCATCCATGTCCACGTGAACATTATAGATGATGTTGAAGAAATCTTCCACCCTAGCAACCTTCTTGTAGTTCTTTTCTGTGTCGTTGCAATTAGGGTCTGTCTATATATACCAAAAAAAGTTGAATATTTGTTATACATGTAGAGTGTATCTATATACCAGTGACATATTGTTTAATACCCATAAAAGTGGAATCTCTGTCTTTAAGAGCCACATACCAACAAAAAGGTGCAATATTTATAATCAAAGGAGATGGGAGAACAAGGCGTGCAAAATGCCTATAGCTTTAGATGTATAAAAGTCATATTCAGAATTTAGTATTTTAGTATTAAGTAAATTTTATTTAAAGTCGGCATTTTGTACATAGCATAACAATTATTTTAGATTACATTTCATATCATTGAAAAGTATGAAATTATGATAAACAAAACTTTTCTGCGGAAGATTCTTTCGGCAAAAATCACTCAATGTTTTTTTTAAAGTGATATTCTAAGGGTTCGAACCCAAGCAATAAAATTACTGCGAATCAATTTTTCCTTTGTAACTAACATGCTAACCACCATGCTATACCGCTCATTTGCATGTTTGTGATTGGCTGCAGAACTGTGGCTCTCTGGTTGAGAAAATTCGGACAGATAAACTAGAGAGCTACAGATCCAAGCATTGTAAAAACCTTTGATTCACGGCGACACTTTTTTGTCGCTCACTTGGGGTATTATTTCTTGTATTTTATGCTTTTGTCGCTCACTTCGGGTATTATTTCTTGTATTTTATGAGTAGAATGGGGTGGGGCAGTAAAAAGGAAAATTTTCCAATGTTAATATAAGGGATGAGTTTATTTTATTTGGTGTTTATGAGTATGATAAACCAATATGGTAGTACATGATAATTCCTGCTGAAGTTGGTCTGCCGCTTATGCCAATTATCACATGTCCAATAGTTGATTATCACCTCATAAACTTTAAAGACAATATATAATTCTAAAAGGTGGCATCTTTGTCATCATAATGGGGAGGTGACCAGAAATAAAAACTGGCACCCTAAAATATGTTTGTAAATCAACAAAGAGTAAAATATTGTACAGACTAACAGGCAATGGCTACTAAATAAAATAAGTTGGAATCGTTGTCATAAAAGTCTTTTCAATATCTTTGTAATTTTGTTTAGTAGGATCTAGTTGTATATTAATAAAAAGTGGATTTTTTTTTACATTTAGGAACTGCTCATTTGCTGATAAAAAGTAAAACCTACACGAAGAGCCTGTCTATTACATGTAATTTACATTTATCAATTTAAAAAGGGAGTCTTTGATATCATGTTTATTAAATATATCCATATACTTAAATCAATAGGTTCTTTTTTCATATGCAATTAAACTAAATTAGAACTTTTGTCATTATAGTAAGAATCTATCAGGAGAAGGTGGATCCTCACAGTCAATGTATCTTACAGGGATAAAAAAAAAAGTTGTATATATATTCTACATTGCATAAAGTATTAAATGAAAAATGTCTATAAAAAATTCAAATTAGATGACTACGGCGGTTTAGATTATTGCAAGTGTAAGAATGCTTGTTAAAAGTTTAAATTTTTAGTAAAACATTTCTTCTGCAATGAATGTCGAAAAAGAAGTTGTGATCATAATTTCAAGATCAATTATTCGATTGATAAGAGCAGGATTAAAAATAAAATAAAATAAATAAAACAACAGACAAACATAAACTATACTCAAGGAACAAACGACAACCCCCCACTCGGGGTGGGGGGGGGGGGGGGGGAGTATTATGGTCAAAACTCCATTTTTAAAAAGACCTTCTACCTTGCAAAAAGATTACGCCAAATCTTTCTTAGCTTGATATGGAAATAAAAATTAAAAGTGTTGTTAATATACTACATTAATAAAAAGTACAATTTCTAATTCCCTTCATCATTTGCCTGACAACAATCCGTAGTCCCCCCCCCCCCCCCGCCCACACACACACAAAAGGGATAAAAACGTCATTCTAAACAATGATTTTTAATTTTGACGAATGGAGTGGCCGTGGTTACTAAAATAAAGTCAACAAATTTCAAAGTGATGCTCTACCCATTGTTTTTGCTTACTGTAAATAAATTTAGAGCACAGAGAAATACAGTATTATATTTAAGCGCTGCACCGCTTACTGGTATATTAAATATAAAATCATTGATTAAAACATTTAGAAATTCCACTTCTAGTTTTTATCTTATTTAGAATGAACATATATTCATACGATGACAAAATATATTATTCTCTCGGCGATCTTCGATTCGTAAAACAGTATTGCTGATTTAACTAAAAGTAGACAAAAAAAATCACAAAATTTACTTAAATGTCTAAAAATTATTCTAATATAGTGTTCCTTTTTCGTGGTTTATATAAAGAGGTTTAGTTACTTTTCTAACTGAAATTCGGATGAAACAGATGTACATTAAGACTATTTCAACTCCAAACCAGTAGAGCTACCAACTCCTCAATCAGATCCCCTTTAGATCTCATGAATAAAGAATAACATTTTTTAAAACTAAATGCTTTCTTGCAGCTATCTTATTTTCAGCAGTGACGCATTACATGTGTCATACTTGGTTCCAAACCATTCTGGCACCGTTTACTTGTGATTTTGATGGGGGACTGGTAAAATTCGTGTGAATTTACGTGTTCCCAAGCACCGAATCAATAAGGCACCCATTGGTTTGCGGGAAAGCTTATATTCCGGATAATAGGGTCGACTTATGTCAAAAGAGACACTCGCTGAAGCTCATATTGGACGACTGTATGCCTGAAAGCTAGCTCTCGGCGGGGTCACTTTGGCGGCAGCTGCATTTCTCGTCTACTAATAAGGTAACAATTTGAAATATCCCGGAGAGCAAAAAGGCGATATTGTAACAAGTTCGCTTTTGAAGGAAATACAGTTTTGGAGCTTACAGCAGAGTTCTACAGTCCTCGTGTTAATTTCAAGCATATGAAATACGCGTAAGCTGTATATATATATATATATATATATATATATATATATATATATATATATATCTATCTATCTATCTATATATATCTATATATCTATATATATATATATATATATATATATATATATATATATATATATATATATATATATATATATATATATTTTCAAATTAAACTTAATAACCGTTCTTATTATATTGGTCTGTGAATGTCCAGGTATTGAAGAAATATCATGATCTTTGAAACGAATTTATCTATACACAGTCTCATTAATTATTGCAATTTGCACCAAGATAGAAAATAAAGCAGATATTTCGACAATTAAAATGTTTATAGTAACTTTGTACATTTTTAAAAATCTTTAATATTTCTTAACATCTGGGCCGGTATGATGTTAAAGTTATTTAATTATCTAACATGTCTTAAATAAATATTTAATAATTTTTTTATGATGAAATGTTTTGGGGAACAATTTCAAAAAGACATTTTCCCATACATTGTACGTTATAGTTAATACAAGCAGTTAAAAAAAGGTTAGATTAAGTCAATCGCTGAACAATGCTCACGATTTTTTTTTTCCTTGAAACAATTAAAAATCTAAATTTTTTTATATTCTAAATCGACATCAAGGAAAAAAAACCTTAGTTTAATTCTGAAGGGAATATCACCAGGAAAGCCTGAATCGTGTTTTAAATGGTGGTGTCAAGCAATTACAATACAATTGTATTTTGATGTGTCCCAGGACGGTGAAGTCACGTGTTTTTTCGAGCGTTCTCAGAAAGAAATGTCGAACTCGATGCCGGCAAAATGGAGTCGAGTTTCCCAACACTTGTCGTCACGTTTTTAGACAAATGAGATTTATTTTAGCGCTCCTATTATTGAATCTCTTTTCCCTTCTCTGGGAGAGTAAACGCAAGATTTCATTTTCAGCAAGAAAGACGACAAAATACGCCAGAGGACAAACAGTTGTCGTTTGTTTCGTGTTCATAAAAAATCGGGACTCGGAATCAATAAACAGTTTTTACTTGTAATAAATCGTAGAGAGGAATTTACTAGTTTTCATACATTTTTTAATTGATAAAGTCAGGAATTTTAAAATAGCGAATTTATAATAGTATACATGTATACCTTTTGATTTCCAGACTTTTTCCTTTCTCTCTCTCTCTCTCTCTCTCATATATATATATATATATATATATATATATATATATATATATATATATATATATATATATATATATATATATCACATACTTAGTAATAAATACAGGTTTTTTGCATATGCGATATGCCTGACGTCACAGTGGCCGTATCAGCTTCCAGTGCTGATACGGATCCTGCAGGGCTGATATAGATCTGCAGGGCTGATAACGGATTTATATCACACCCCTAGTAAATTAAACCTTAAAAACAGTACTTGTTATAATACACCTATTTTTTTTTTTAATTAACATACTCTGAATCTTAAATTACTGTTCTTTGATATAATAAGCTACATCACTAGTCAATAATAAGTTTTTTAATATTAAAAAAATACCTTCTTAATTATTTAAAAAAAGGATTTACAAATCATTTATTTTTTATAAGCAAATTTCCTCTGAATAACTGTTCACATTAAGAAAAATAAACACGAAAACACACTCTTGCCAAGCAAGTTAGAAAAAGGCAAATCAATATGGTTTTTTTTTTTTTTTTTTTTTTTAAAGGGTTAGGGGTGTCACAAGAAGCATAGAACTATTTCAATGCTGTTTCACAATAACTCTATAATACACCCAGTTGTAAGTTAATACCCAGCTTAATTTATAACAGGGTGGAGGATTGAATATTCTGAATTAAAAAGGAAAGCTCTTAACTACACCAAAGCCAAATTTTGATGAGTTTCCGACTTTTTGATAAACTAAAACTGTTTCCGGCCAGACTATGTGCAGGAAAAAATTTTATCACTTGAATCAAGATTAAGGTCAAGGGTCATTCTGGGTACATATATTTTACATTCTGTTTTTTCATTAATGATACAGGTTCAATTAATACTTCCCTTATATATTATTTCATTGCTCCACAAAGACTGGGTTATTTTTGTCTTTTTGTTGCTTGCGATAATCCTTAGAGTTTAAATTTTAGGATTGTTTTTTACAAACACGATACATGTATTAATTGCTGTCCAGTTTTTAAAACAAACTAACAAAGTTTTTAAAACAAACTAACAATTAGTCTAAAAAATACATTTGAAAAAGAAAGGATGCATATACAATATTTTTTTTTTAAATTTGAATTAAAAATGTGAAATACATTTTCACATTGTATCGATTCTACCTTTATGATCTATATATATTTTATAATTGTTTGATTCCTTATTTTATTTTTAACCAGTAACGCACAATATTAAATCAAACGTTTTAGTAAGATTAAGTCGTCAAAGCATTCATATGACTGCTGTTATTTAATCTTCAGATGAGAAAGTCAAGTCTCTAATAACATTCAAAAATGGATAAAAAAAAATCTTTACGACCACGCCTTGCTTCAGATTGAAATACAAATGTAGACATACATTTCCAAGTTTATTGCACCATAGAACGTCATACGACACCATCAGGCCACACTGATGAGTATATATCACAAACAGAGGGCTGAACGCTGGACTGCCGCTGACATCCATGTCGCATGAGCACCTGTGGTCATTATGGCCATTGATTGAGCGATTACTCGTGAAAGACCATCACTCCAAAGTAATAATACGAAGAAAAATATTGTCATTCCGCTAATTAAAGGCAACGCGAAACCACCCGATCCGATAGGTGTGTGCATCATCCCAGTTACCATGGATACCCTGTCGCGCGAGATCTTGTTACAAATCTCCAAGAATTGTCTGATATCTACCTGACGATGTCGACAAAGCTTACCTTTAGCTAATATGTGCTTTTGTCGCCTGAAACCGAGTTTTGACTCGTGATAGTGGGATAAAAAAAAGTCCAATAGTCGGACGTGGTCAGTAATTGGAATCGGGGGGTATTACTTTTCGCATTGTCACTGAGAGGCTTTCACAATGCTAGCAGTCGAGTAAACCTAACAGTAGGACTTAATAAGCTGTTTGCAAAGAAGATGTAACAAATTACATCACAGATAGACCACCTGCCCTCTATTATGAGGCCCTTTTCGCACATCCTGGTCCAAGAAAAAAAAACCGTGGTAACAGTAAATTCGCTATAAATCAAAAAAATCAATGGCTGATGAGACCAAAGAATGGGAAAAAATTACTCGTCTTTTTCAAATCATATAAAATCATTTCACAGAATAGTCTTCTAATGCGATGGTGTATGTATATGTATAATAATTTGACTAGTGAGGACGAAGTGCTTGACAGGGAAGAACCGAAATCTGCGAATTTCCGTTAATAAATCAATGTGGTCTTAGGACCCTAAAGCCAGTGTCCTACAGCCAATGCCTGAAGACAGTTAATGTATTTAGACCTTCTCGTTGTAGGCCGATTCCAACTCATGGATTTTCTTTCTGCTTTAATTTCGGCAGCCGTGCGGAGGAATTCTTTTGACAAAAAGTTCCACGTTTATTGCTCTGAGAGTTTAAAAATTAGAAAATTACTTTGTTCTGTTTTCCTCTCCATGAAATTTAATTTTTACTGATTAAAGATGCACAGTGCGTAAATTAAATGTATAGAATTAAATAAAGTTTAGGCGCATTTCCACAATCTCTTCACGACATCTAATCAATATTTTATTATCAACAGTAGAAAACTTGTCTATGACTTTGTATAATCGAGAGAAGATTTCTTAATTACATTTTTCTTCATTCCTAGAACCATAGGCTAACACGATACATTTTTGCATATATGTACATTTAATCGGATGCTTAAGAATAGAGTTTTAGTTACAGATTTATTTATAGAGTGTGAAAGCACTTGGTGATGGTACAGTATAAGTGGGATACAGTATTCAGGCAATTATAATAAGGAAGTGTGTAGACACGTCCTGTGTATGTATGAACGATGAACACAGGATGTCCTTGTTGAGATAGGACCAAATTTTGTGCTCATAGTCGTTTTGTTTATTTTTATGCAATAAAAATGAGTAACAATATGAAAAAAAATTAAAACTCTTACCACAGGCTTCGTAGGAACATAAATCGTTTGTTCGCATCCTTTCCCTGTGTTCTCAGAAGGTCCCAAACGAAATCCTTTCGCTTTCACCCAAAACCTGAACTTTGAATTGTCTGCAGTTGATGGTTCCTCACCACTCAGAATTTTCACTATTCGCTCATATTTTTTACGGGTCACTGTCTTTGTTTTTCCACTGTCTCCATAATTTTGGAGGGCCCATGTCTGGAAAGTCTCAAACATCTCCTGTTTCTTAATGGAGCACCGCGAGCTGTCAACATCCCTCGCAGCAGACGACATTTTGCTACTTTGTCACCAGGCAGGACAGAGAGAGAATTATATACGGCAAGTTTCTAATTTAGAAGAATTCCCGTTGACTTTGGACGGTGAGCACGCGTCAAATTCACGGCCTGCTCTAAGCTGTCACTACCAGACATCCGACTGAACTAATTAGGACGTTAGAAAGAGTGCGGGACAGAGGTGACAAATCAACTCAGCCAATCAAAAGCCAGAGAAACAATGGTCCCGTACGGGAATGAACTTGTTGGGCATGCTCAGTACGAGGTTTATGCTCTAACATGGCGAAGGTGAAAATGAGAAGGCGGGACGCCGCTAACTAGAATTGACGTCCGATATCTGAATTTTATTTCATCATTTGTGTCCAGAAATATAGATATGGTTTAGGAAAAGTTTATTTATATCCTGAAATTCAATTTTTTCATTCTATGGTGATTTTTTCCCTATTACTATTGCATTTTCATTTGTAAAAAAAATGTCCAGAACAGATAAAGATACAAATGTATTTTGTAATATGAGCAGGATATAACAATTCTATGTAGATACCGTCGAAAGACCAATATTGATCGCTTTTTTGCTCTTGTTTCCAAGGTAAAAAAGAGAAAAAAGGTGTTGGCACAATCCGCTGGTGACACTATCCGTAATAACACATCAGTGCACCCTTGGGGTGGGAGAGAGCGATTGCTGGTGTGCCAAATTGAATTTTACGCCAAACATCCCATACACAATTGATGACGTAATTGCCACTCTTTGAGTATTGCCGTTTTCATAACGGCAAACCCAACATTGCATTTTCTGTGTGTTTTATTGGATTTCTGTTGCATTTTAATGAATTGCCTCGGCTCATAAAATAGTTTACTTCTTTAAAGCCTGTCGTTGAAATTGTTTTATTTTCCTCAAAGCATCTAACTTCAAATTGAACAGCTATGTTCATTTGTTACGAATTGAAATGACCACTCATTGCAGCAGTTCAAACAACTTGATAAAATCCTGGAAATCATTTTTTTGTTTATATTTTTTCTTCTATGTATTTTGTTTCATTTATTAAAATTTTTAGTACTCTACGTTTCGAACTAAACAAAAGCGTTCTTACTTTCATTTTAATTAAAATTCCGGTTTAATATTTCAGCTGTGGTTCAGATATCAAATTGAACCGTAACTTTTTAGGATGTAACTGACTTCGTTGTTTTTGCTGGGATTCTTGCAAAATAGGATGTAAATCAGGGGCGGATCCAGGATATTTCGGAGAGTTATGTAAAGATTTATATTGATAATTGAACAGTCTTTTCGTTTGTATATGCATCTTAAAAATAGATCATACGTAATCTTGATACATATGGCTAATTTTTTAAAGCAAAAACAAATACTGCTTTTTTAATATTACACACTTAAATTTTCATATGATTTGCACATACTTATATACTATTCTATCCTGGAAGAAGAGGATAATCTCGTTATAATTTGCTATAGTGTAAGCTTTAGCAGTTAAAACTACCACTTAAATTTTCCTAACCCCAGTACCATACTCTTTCCATTTGGATATACCGAATTCCCGTAGCAAATGCAGATATAATCCCTTAATAATGTTATTGTGTACCTATTATTCTATAATATGATAAAAGAAAAAAAAAACCAAACAGAGCAAGAAATCGAATCTCATTGAATAAAAATTTCTCTTACGAGACTGTAGCTCTACTGTTTTTTACTTAACAAGGAAAAGTAAGCACTTGGACATGAAACTATGGCAACAGCAATAAATAAAATAATGATCCTGGTTTAGTCTCTTTTTTATGTCAAGAGTAGTCTACTTGTGTACCAATTTATATCGAAATTGCACCAAAACAGTAGGAGGAATAATCTTTTGAAAGAATTTTTTTTGAAATGTCTATTTTTAGTAACCATGGCAACACTATTCACCGAAAACAAAAACTTATATAAAAACTTATGTGTCATTGTATTGTCTATTTCAGAAAAAAAATTATTGGAATCAGATCAAAACTGTAGGAAAAATAGCTTTTTTGAAAGAATCTCACAGAAATTTCTATTTTTAGTAACCATGGCAAAGACGTTCATCAACATGAAAATATGAAATAAAGAATAATTTAACTTAGTTTGCTTATTAAAAATTCAACTAAAACTGTAGGCAGGGTTGCTTGTGAAAGAATTTCACAGAAACTATTTATAATAACCATGACTTTGCCGTGCATCAATATCAAAAACCGATTTACAGAATTATGTATCTTAGTGAAGTCTACTTGTGTACCCAGTTATATAGAAAAGGGACTAAAACTGTAGATCGAAGGAGTAGCATTTTGTTAGAATGTCACAGAAATTTCTATTTTTAGTAATCATGAAAACACAGTTCATCAAAACCGATAAGTAGAATTATGTACCTCAATGTACGCAACATAATATGTACTCAGTTATATGGAAATCAGACCAAAACTGTAGCGTTTTGTAAGAATTTCACAGAAATTTCTATTTTACCATGGTTACATAATTCAGCAAAATTTAAAACTGATACACAGTACATGTATATTGAAAGGGGACCAAAACAGTAGGAGTGGCATTTTGAAAAAAAATTGTTTGCAAACAGATATCTAGAATTCAAGAGTGCCCTTAAGTTTACCCCTTATTAATAATTGTGTCCGATGACCTGGTTTTGCTTGTCAAGGATTTTCTGTTCAGTTGTGTCCACCCCACATCGATGTACCCCGGAGTATATCTGAAATATTTTTGTTCGATTTAGAGGGGGCGCGCCGGGAGCCAAAATCCGCGCCTAAACTCTTCTGGTATCTAACCAGTAGAGCTAAGTAGTAATACAGGAGGATATAGAAGAGTTTTTATTTATTTTTTTTAAATTCTGGATAAGATGCAAGGACTTATATATTAACATTTATTTTCTTTGACATTGGAATGTGATAAAATTGTATTTAGGAGTATGAAACATGTTAAGTTTTTATGATTTGGAAAATCATAGAATTACATATTGGTGAAGTGCGAATTAATTTCGATAATTTTGATTTTTCTGCGTGAAAATTACATCTAGATACATGCCCAATTGATAATCGATGTTGACTTTCGCAGGCAAATTACAATAATATATGCTAAAATTGCCTAGTTCTCAAAAATTCAGTTTTTTAAGTACATACTCTAGAAGACAGAAGCAGAGAATTTTTTTAAACAAATTCCTTTACTAATCAACTGTAGAATAATTCAATTTGCTAAAACGGACTCTTAATATTGACATGACAAGCTGGGGCGGATCCAGGAATCTTGAAAAGGGAGGGGGAACCAGTTTGGGTCGGGGTGGGGGCCCAGGGAGCAAAGCCCCCAGAAGATCACGTGTTAGTGTTTTTTTTTTTTGGGGGGGGGGGGGCAGATTTTGACTTATTTTAGCTATACTAGTATTTGAGGTATAATTAATGTAATAACCCACACCAAAAAATTGATTTATTAATCTTACGGTCACAAAAGGGAGGCGCCTTCCTCTAAATCCGCCAGTGGCAAGACATCGGATACATTGTTTCACTTCACAGTTTTAGTGCTTATGGGCTGAAGACCTAGATGAGAGTAAAAACGATATAATCTACTCATGTATCAACTAATTCCCTTCGATGTCAGGGTCAAGGACACAGTACACGAGCAAAGACGACTGGCTGGTTTATGTCTGTTAATGGAGCTCGGACTTGGTAAAGGTTATATGTGATCCTTAATTAAAATGATATGTCAAGGTCATTCAATCATCAATTTATTTTTCTGAAATGAATTAAAGCTGAAATTGCAGACAGAGGGTTACTCTTAAAACAAGGACTGCTCGTGACCAGAGGATGTTTTTCACACAAGTGATAATCAGATATTATGGTGTAAAATGATAGAGGTGGTAGAGATTATCAGTTTTTATATGTTTAATATGACACAGTGGCGTAAATTGTCAACCAAGGTCATTTGAAAGGGTAAGGTCACATGTGTAGAAGTGGACAATTCTTAAGACAATAACTTTGTTATAGACGAGATTAAAAAAATGAATCGTAAAAAGCAACATCTGCAAAATATGTGAGGGAACATCTTTCGATTAAAGAAATTCATAGATACTTGAAATTCTGAAACTCTTTCATTTATATTAATTCAAAGAATGTATTTTAAAAGCATTAACTACTGTTATCTCCTGCCTTTCTGACTTTACAGTTTGGTGGATTAGAATATCTGTCCAATGCTGAAGAAAAAATTTCAATGAGGGAAATCCTATATAAAGATACACTTATGTTGTTTTTAAAACAAATGACATTAAGCCAGACCAAAATCACGGGATTTACAGCGGATCCCTGATGATAAGATTTCCACAGAAGTTCAGACATTTCTGCTGTCGTCATGTATCATTAGCACTATCTAGCACACCGTTAATGGTGATAATGAGCCGCCATTACGTATCGTACACGTCCGTCGACATCGGACTCTCCCTGGAGACTTCGGCCGGCGCGGAATGTCCCGAGTAATACCTCGTTTTATTGGTTCTTCTCCCGCCCATATAATCTGATTTAGAACTCGATAAAGCGCATTACGTTCTCTCTCTATAACAAATGATTACTCGTCTAATACTGCCAGGACAGTCCCCAACGGTCGCTTTACGCTCCAGCAGGGGGGAAGCTTTTTTGTGTCCACGGCACTGCACCACGACAAATCGCCTGTTTTATTGACATTCTTCTGCAATATGTTGGGTTTGAATTAAAACTCAACAGAACCGATAGTTTATATCGGCATTTATCCCACATGACTAGAAAGTTCATCAATTTATCTCTTCGCAGCTTTTACAAAAGTCATAGAATTGTAAAAGTTCAAAACTAAAATGATGATACATAGCAAGCATTTACATTAACACGTCTTTTAAAATCTGCATTTAATTCTACCATGATCACAGACGTATTCATAGCACACTGAGGAAAAAGCTAGTATTTGATTCAATGCAAAGTATATGTCTATTGTGTTTTGACCTTTAAATGTAGTTCTATAATAATAAGAAAATACTCCCGGCAGCCATTATTACTTTATTATAGAAATAACATTTAAAAGCAAACTAATATACTAATTCTAATGAAAGTCTCAAGACAGAATTGTGAATATTTCATTTATTTGCTAAAATTAGAAAAAAGAACAAATTTCATTAATTGAAAATGTTTTAATTTTTTAGCTCACCTGAGACCAAGGCTCAAGAGAGCATTTCTGGTTGAAATTTGTCC